GGCTGCCTGTTTTGAATTTACTACCTGGCAAGGCATACAGCATGCTCTGAAAGTTTCCGAAACTGCATCATTGTAGGCAGGGTGCTGGAGACGGGTGGAAAGTAGGGCGTGGTTTGGATCGAGTGTTTGCATAGAGGCGTTCATGTGCATGGATGACTCATGCCAGGATACTTGGTGCATATGTGACTGCAATCCCATCTCCGACATAATATCTTGTTTCCCGCCCAGGTCCGTCGGCGGCACCCCAATGTTCATGCCTGCCCCCCATCCCATCCCTGGATGGCTGCTGCATCATGCGGGTGCCTGACGCGGTGCTGGCCCAATCCCGGACCATGCTGCTGCTGCGCAGGCATGCCCAGCCTCGCTTGGGCTCTGCCAGATTGCGGCGTGATGCAGCATGGCATAGTTGCTGGTGCATACTACTCCATGTGCATCGAGGTACGGCAATGCCGGGAATCCCGGCCCCCAGCCAACCTGCCATCAAATGCACCTGTCCCTGACTCTGGTCCATCATAGGCGCAATGCCGGCGCCGTGCATCATCCAGGCCGATGACTTGCATAGCGCCCGCGCCCCGGACCCTTGCATCCGTGCCCCGCCCGGACCCTGCCATCGTGCGCCCCCGGACCCTGCATCGTGCCCTGAGCCCGGGACCGCATGCATCGCGCCCCAGGACCCCGAGCCTGATCTCATACTTGAGCCGGAATTCGGGCCGGACCCTGATTCCCGGCGGAGCACGCCAACGCACCCCGGAGGGCATTCCCGGCGTGCGGGGCCACCGGGAGGCAGGCCGCGGCGTCGCGGGCCCCGAGCCAGTGCATAGCTGGCCCACAGCTGCGGGGCCCGCATCGCCTGAACATGGGCGCCGCTCTGCTGAGGGTCCATCGCGTACATGCGCGGATCGGGTGAGTGCACCGAGGGTTCGCCCTTCATCATGCCCAGTGCACCACCGCCTGCCACCAAAGAACTGCCAGATTCTGTCTTCTGGGACGCGCTTCTTCTCCATGCCGGCGGCCATCGGGTCGCAAACCGCTGCAAGAAAGTCAAGAGGTTCAGAAGGTCGCGAGGACGGACGTCGGCTGCGCACTCAGCTGGACAGGTACTGGATCGTGGTTCGGCGCGTATCGCCTAGCACCTGGACTGCTCTCGCGTTTGGCGAATGGGCACCGCGGCCGGTTTGCGCGGCCGGCTGCCTTGGCCCATGCCGCCAACCGCATTGCCGAGCGGCGACCATCTCTGCGACATTCGCCACGTCTGTGTTGGCGGGTGACCACGACCCCGTGTGTTGATGCTGCTGCTGCTGGCTCGCTGCTTGCTGCTTGCTGTGACGATGAGCCAGCCGCCTCATCGCCTGCTGGCCATGCTCCATGCTAGTCTGGAGGCGCGACACCCGCCGGCCCGTGCGGGCATACGCTTGGGGCTCGCCAGTGCGGGACGCCCAAATGTGGGCGCCCGCCCTGCGATGTTCGTCCTGCCCGACGCTGCATCTGCGGCGTTTGTACCCGAGCGGGAATATTCTGTATGTTGAGCTGCTGAGCATGGAGCATGGTCGCAGTTACACGTACGTGTTGTTGACGGCGGGGAGCATGTGCTGGCTGGCGGCGGCGCGCTGCTCACGAACGGCCCAGCGGCCTGCCCCGCCGGCCCGTACACTCTCGCCGTGGCCGGGCCTCAAAGTGCCGGCAGCCGCGGAAACGCAGGCATGTACGTGCTCGCTGGCGCTGCCGCCGTGCGGCTGCTGCCTGCTGCTCTGCTGCTTGCTGCACCTTCTGGCACCGGGTCGAGAATGCCCATCTCAGTGCACACGGCCGACGCTCATGTGCAAGCCCTGCATCATCGGCGCGCCTACCCGCGCCTGCACCGGCATCTGTATTGTTCACAGGAGCATTCCCACCGGGATGGGCTGGTGCATGGCCCCCGGGTGGGGCGCATGCCCCGGGAATGGCGCGGCATGCCCCCGGCGGTGGGCGGACATGGCCGCCGGGAGTGCACCGGCTCGAACTGTCCCAGTCGACAAGAACTGGGCGTGTGGGGTCAGTCGATGAAGCCAGAGCCGGCGGTTGGGGCCGCGGGCGCGGCCCGAGGCCGCCCATGTATGCCGTGTTGAAGCTGCTCTGTTATCGTCAGCTCCATGTGTGCGAAGGCGGCTGACGTTACGACATCCGCTGCCGCGATACGGCACGGGGATCACTCCTCTTGGCGGAGCGCTGCCGCCGACTCCTTCGATCCTTGTGCGGCTGCGCGTAACGCGGGCCTTCGGGCCGTCATCGGCCAGCCGCTCACTTCGGCGCCGGCGATCAACGCCACGTAACTCCCTGGCGGGCTCATAGGCGCCAATCGCCGCAGACGCCGCCGTTCATATCTGCCTCCTGCTTGCAGCTTCGACAGCATCTCGGGGCAAAGTGTGTAGTTCTGGTCGACGCGCGCGGTGGGTAGGCGCGGCGGCACGGGTGCCGCGGCGGCGAGCTCATGCGCGGGCCGTGCGTGGCCCGCCCCTGAACTGGAAGTCGCCGGGCTGCATGTGCGGCCGCACAAAAGTGCGCGTGAGGTAGAGGACGGCCCGGTTTGTTAATACTTGTGGCAGGCGGTAGGGCCGAGGCTTGGTTGTAGGGCGGCGGCGCCCGCGGCCCTGCATGCCCGTGTTCACCTGCGCACTCGCCATCATCTTCACTGCTTTTCTCGCGCCAATGTTACTGCTCTGCAGCGATGCCACTCGATCTGCGCCTTCGCCATGCTCTGGTCCTCGGCGGAGCCACATCGCTGCGTGACGCCACATCATCGATCTGAGTCATCGCCTGCCGCGCGGCGGCAGATGCCCATCATTGCTCTGGCTAGGACTGCTGCTGCTGTTCTGCTGTGCCTGCTGCCTGTGCGGCTGGCTGCTGCTGCGGCGGACAGCAACGCAGTGCTGCTGGTTAGAAGCCTCGGCGACGCGCCCGGCGCCACCTGTGGCTGACGGAGCGCCTATTCTCGGGCAAGAGCATCTCCTATGGATCGACGCATCTTGCGCAGTTGCTCTTCTTCGACGCTGCAGCTGCCTGCGGAAGTCCAGGTTTTCTCTCTGTAGATAGCAATCGGGGATTGACGTCTTAGCGGTCGCCAGCTTCACGGCCGGAAAACAACACCGTTGGCAGCGACAAAGGCTGGCAGTAGAGGCAGGAACTGGTTCAGCCCTGCCCCCCAACCGTGCCCGCTACAATAATTATTCTCCTGTGGGACAGACCAGTAAAAGTCTTGCAAAACCAATTTTCGACGGTTATATAAAAGTAAAATCTCAATCAAAAATTTGAACAAATAGGCATAAGGGATTTACATTGGTTATCAGGTAAGAAGAAAATTAAAAACGACACAAATTTTAGCAACATCAATTCTATAAGAAAGCCAAACCACTTGGAAAAATACTGCTCAGTTATGTCAATCAGTAATCTACAGTACTCATGGCATTACAGACATGCATTGTTCACAGTGTATTCCCTGGCAAGTCGCGAACATCCTGAAATAGGCATGGACATGGAGCTGGCTTAGATGCTGGGACGCACCTTCCCTGGCCTCCCCACTGTAAGGGATGAGACACCTGGCGGCGGGGGGGCACTCATTGCCCAATGGTTCACCTTATCGTTGTAGCTTCATCGCGCCTGGACGAGCCGTGAAGCAAAACAATTAATTTTTATGGAGGCAAAAAGTGTTGGGCGGGTGACGAAGAGCACACTTCCAATGTACAGAGTTTGGACTAAAAACATTGGAGAGTAGCAAGCTAGTGAGTACTTAGATAGTTACTAACAAGTCCATTGAAAAATGGTAAACCAGCAACAGGGGAGATGGTTTTTGCCATTTGCATTCGTTTGCAAGCGAGAAAAGGACAGACGAGCAGTCTCTTATAAAGTATATCCAAATTGTCAATTACTTTTTTAATGATTTCAACATAAATTCACATCGCACGGTTCAACCATAGCTGGGGGCACCGGAAACGATAGGCTTATGTTCTCCATTGTGATTCGTGAATGCGGTCTATTGATACACCTGTTAAACTGATGACGCTTAAATTCGATGCTTCTACAATCAAAGAAAATTACAATTCAATGGTCAGGCACAAATGCCCCATACATCTTTAACATTCCGTCTACGGTACACTTTACATTCCGTCTTCAGGTCAAGGCCAATAACCAGCAATGCAATAAGCCTCGTGGCTTGCATACTGAGTAACATGTTTGGTGACAGCATAATAAGATTGTATGCTAATTTAAAAAGATCAGGCGTATGCGCATGACCAGCGACAAAATAAACCTATATCTGTAACAGTGCACATGTACCTGATTCTTAGACCTAACACACACTGCACATTCGCCGTATGTACGATGCTACTTGTCACCCGATAATGAGAGATTTGTAAGCCGTACAGTTCACATCCAAGGTCAAATAAGATCTCTC